TCAGTCTTCCTGACTCTAACTCCATGCCATACTCATTATATCACCTAGAAAGGACAGCAACTTGAACACTAATACTTGCTCTGGAGAAATTTTACTAGAAAAGAGAGGTATAGAATGGAGATTCTTTGATTAATTTTTCACAAAGCCTTCAAATGATCTCCCCAAATAGTCTCACAAATATCTATAAAAACCTAGCCAAGGAAACTTTTCTGAATACTACAAGTCCTTCACCTTCTAATGTGTTGTGGTAAAAATAAGGTAGAAATTGCAAAAATGAAAACTGCAGAGGGGAAGACTTTGGATTGATGTAAAAGAAAAAAAACCTTCCTAACAATTCCACCTGTAAACACTGAATGGGACATTTTACTTGAAGACTTCAAGCAAAGGCTGGATTACCATTTGTCCAATATGTTGTAGAAAAAAGTTTGACTTCAAGTATGTGTTCAATTAAATAGCCTCTGAGGTCCCTTGCTATTCTGGGATCCTATAATAAAAAATCTTTATGGTCTTGATACTAAATCATATTAAATTATTTTATATAATACGATGATGTATCAGATTTTATTTACATTTTAGAAATCTTCATATTATAAAAGTATATCATATATATAAGTAAATAGTTGGATACATAAAATATGGTTCTGTGGTCACTTACATAATGTATCAAGTCCTTGATCAAGAACGCAACCTTCTCCATTCTAACTTTGTTTCTATGGGAAAACCAGATCTGATCTGTATCATTTCAGTTTAAAATGAATTTTCCAAGAACATGGCCTGTTGGGTGATAATATCTGTAATGGGATTCCATTTGCAGTTGATGAAACTGAAATGACACTGTGAACTACAGCTGAAAGGACACACAGCCATGTCTTTCTTTTAGCAGTTCTGAGTCTTTGACTATAATTGGCTTTATTTATTCTCAATATTTCTTTGAGAGAAGGCAGGTATATATGAGAAGGAAATGCATTCTCCTGCCTCTGAGATTCCTGGGGGGGCGTGGTTGGGGGGAAATACCGAGTATAAATGGGATTCCTTACTTCTTGAATTCAGGTCAGTAGATTTTCCATTAGACCAGTGGTTTTTAAAGTAAGATTAATGGATTTGAGCTGGAAAGTATCTTAAAGATTAGTTAATTCAATATCCTATTTTACAGATAAAACTGAGGCCCTGAAAGGTTGAGGGACCTGCCAAAGGTCACATATGAAGTAAGGAGTCCAATGCTTTTGCTCCAAATCCAGTGTGTATGTGTATGTGTGTGTGTGACTGTGTGTGCTCCCAAAAGGAATGTGTAGGGATCTGTTTAAGGTATATTTTCTCAGGAAGATGTAAAACAATGAAAAGAACTAAAATTTAGGGACTCAAGGGGAGGAGCCAAGATGGCAGGGTAAAAGTAGTAACTTGTTTGAGCTCTCCCCCAAACCCCTCCAAATACCTATAAAAAAATGGCTCTAAACAAATTCTAAAGCAGCAGAACCCACAAAAAGATAGAGTGAAACAAATTTCCAGCCCAAGAAAACCTGCATGGCTGATCGGAAAGGTATGTCATGCCGGGCTGGGAGAGGAATGCAGTTTGGTGTGGGCACCCAGGCTGCAGCAAACCTGGAGCAGGCCTCAAAGGACTGAATCGCGGGCAGTTGTGACAGTTTCCAGACTTCTCAACCCACAAATGCCAAAGACAACGTAGTAGGTCAGTGGGAAAAGTTTGTTTCTGTGGTGAGAGAGAAGCTCAGTCCCAGTCCCAGTCCTGAGCACCAAGCGCAGCCCCGGGGCGGCAGCTGCCTCCTGAGCTTCCAGCCCACAGACTGAGGGGAAATCAAGTGGCTGATCAGAGAGGGATTGCAGGGATCTCTCTGCTGGTACAGGATTCTCTTGCTTTGCCCGTGCTTAGATCTGGGTCACAGTTCTGGGTGGCAGTCCTGGGGCGAGAAGGAACGCTGGCACGGTGGAGCTTGTAGTGGCAGTGGAGAGAAAATCCCCCTCACAGTTCCAAGACAGAAAAGAGTGCTTGTGGTCACTCACAGACCAGAGCACAGGCCAGGAAGGAGTAAACACCTCACCCTCGGAAGAACTGAAAATTTACAGGTCCCTACAAGTATCTCTGAAAACAGCTGCATAAAACCCCTGAAGCTTGGGACGGTACATTCTCCACACTGGAAACAGACCCCTACCTTATCAAAGAATTTATAACTCAAGTAATTGGCTGGGACCATGAGCAAGCAGTGCAAAAAGAGTCAGGCTATATTATCTTACTTTGGTGACAAAGAAGATCAAAACACACAACCAGAAGAAGACAATGAAGCCAAAGCTCCTACATCCAAAGCCTCCAAGAAGAATATGAATCAGTTCCAGGTCTTGGAAGAGCTCAAAAAGGATTCTGAGAAGCAAGTAAGAGAAGTAGAGGAAAAACTGAGAGTGATGCAAGAAAATCACGAAAAACAAGTCAACAGCTTGCTAAAGGAGACCCCAAAAAATACTGAAGAAAATAACACCTTAAAAAATAGCCTAACCCAAATGGCAAAAGAGGTCCAAAAAGCCAATAAGAAGAAGAATGCCCTAAAAAGCAAAATTGGACAAATGGAAAAGGAAGTCCAAAAGACTACTGAAGAAAATACTTCCTTAAAAATTAGAATGGAACAAATGGAAGCTAATGACTCTATGAGAAATCAAGGCACTGTAAAACTAATCCAAAAGAATGAAAAAATAGAAGAAATTGTAAAATATTGCATTGGAAAAACAATTGACCTGGAAAATAGATTCAGGAGAGATAATTTAAAAATTATTGGACTATATGAAAGCCATGATCAAAAAAAGAGCTAGACATCATCTTTCAAGAAATTATCAAGGAAAACTGCCCTGATATTTTAGAACTAGAGGGCAAAATAGAAATGGAAAGAATCCACTGATCACCTCCTGAAAGAGATCCACAAAAGAAAACTCCTAGGAATATTATAGCCAAATTCCAGAGTTCACAAGTCAAGAAGAAAATATTACAAGCAGCCAGAAAGAAACAATTCAAGTATTGTGAAAACACAATCAGGATAACACAAGATTTAGCCGCTTCTACATAAAGGGAGTGGAGGGCATGGAATACAATATTCCAGAGGGCAAAGGAGATAGCATTACAACCAAGAATCACCTACCCAGCAAAACTGAGTATAATCTTTCAGGGGAAAAAATGGACATTGAATGAAATAGGGGACTTTCAAGCATTCTTGATGAAAAGACCAGAGCTGAATAGAAAATTTGACTTTCAAATACAAGATTCAAGTGAAACATGAAGAGGTAAATAGGAAAGAGAAATCATAAGAGACTTATTAAGGTTGAACTGTTTACATTCCTGCATGGAAAGGTGATATATTTGTAACTCATGAATCCTTTGTCAGTATTAGGGTAGTGGGAAGGAAAAAAATTATATGTATGTAGATAGGTCGATAGATAGATAGATAGATAGATAGATAGATAGATAGATAGATAGATAGATAGATAGATAGATAGATAAATAGATAGAGGGCACAGGGTGAGTTAAAGATGAAGGGGTGATGTCTGGAAAATAAAATTAAGGGGTGAGAGAGGATTATACCGGGAGAAAGAGAAAGGGAGAGGTAGAATGGGGTAAATTACTTAACATGAAACAGACAAGAAAAGGCTTTTACAGTGGAGGGGAAATGGGGGAAGGTGAGAGGGAATGAGTGAATCTTATTCTCATTGGATTTGGCTTAAGGAGGGAATAACATACACAATGGGGTATGGAAATCTATCTTACCCTACAGGAAAATAAGGGGGGAAGATGACAAGAGAGCAGGGGTTTGATAGAGGGAAGGGCAGAGTGGGGGAGGGGATAACTAGAAGCAAACACTTCTGAGGAAGGACAGGGTCAAAAGAGAACAGAATAAACGGGGGGTAGCATAGGATGAAGGGAAATATACTTAGTTTTTCACAACATGACTACTATGGAAGAGTTTTGCATGACTACACATCTATAAGCTGTATCGAGTTGCTTGCCTTTTCAATGATGGTGGGTGGGGAGGGAGGAAGGGAGAAAATTTGTAACCCAAAGTTTTAAAAACACATGTTAAAAAAATTTTTTTTAAATTGTTTGTGGAAAAAAAAAGAATTAAAATTTAAAACTTTTATAATATACTGGAGATAATGAGATTCCTGCCAATGAAAAGAAAACTTTAAATACAGCAGTTGTATTACATACTTGCATTTCTCCAAATTCTTGAGGGCAAGGGCTGAGTTTTATATTTATTCTATATTCTTCACAAAGTTGTAGATAGAACAGATGGTACTGGCACATGAGGGATAATTATCCATTTATTAATTAACCAGGTATCATAGATAATCCATCAAAGTGATCCAGAGAACAAAAAGTTTGAAAACTACTAAATAAAACAATATCTATTTCAATTAGTTCAGAATAGTCATAAATATTGTACAACATATGAAGTCAGTTTCTGCTTCATTTTTGTTTCTATCACCACTATATGTCCTTGAATGAAAGCTGGGCTGAAATCTATCTATCTATTATGACAATGGTTATTCTCTAGGTGAGATCTAAAATCTTTGATGGTCTTCTGGGATACTCCAGGTGGTATACTAACTGGTTTTTTGAATGAGGTATATCATAAATATCTGTACATGCCATGTTTTTGTTATAGACAATAATTAAAGTATTTAGTAAAAATCTTATTTCTGTCACATCAGGTTTGTTATGAACCTTTTATCTGCTAAATATTTTAGTATGTTTAGTTCACTGAGGTACTTTGTGTTTATAATAAGAAAGCACAGCAATACAACTTGAAGAATTACCAACTTAAGACCAAACTCTTTGAGGCATATAATCTCAGAACTGGAATATTATTTTGAATTTGCTATCAAAAATGAAATTCACTTAGTGAAACTATTTAACAACACTGTCAGCCACTCTCTAAAGCAGAAATATACAGAAAGCTTTCTAATCCATTTCTCCACTCCCAAGCACTTCTTTTTTCACAAACCTTCACAACTGGAATCTGTTCAATTGGGACCGTTTCAACTGGAACATAACATGTGTAGCAGTAGAACATTCTTGAGCCTCCACATTTGAGACATTTGGCTCTGCCACTCTGCTGGGCTTTTTGGAGAACTTCCTGAGACGCTAAGCATAAATTTTGAAGAGGTTCTTCTTTAGTTAAAGAAGTGTTTTGTAATTCTTTTGTACTATCTTTGTCTTCTTTGAAAAATATAGGTGGATTCAAAGACATCTTTCAATTCAGAAAAGAAGAGCTGATACACCTGTAATCAAAACACAACAAAGAACACAATCAAAAGCAAATGATGAATTTCAATATAAAAAATGAGCAACAACAAAAAGCATGTGTGTGTATATATATATACAAACACATACACATACAGAAATCATACATCCATATCTACATGTATTTACGTTTACACAAATACATTATATAACATAGAGTTACATTATCATAGCATTATTGATTTAGAAGTGGGAGAGACCCTAGAGATCATTGAGTCCAACTCCCATCATTTTACAGATGATGAAACTAAGACCCAGAAAGGTGGTGACTTGCCTATACAAGGTATTAAGCAGATGAAATGGGATTTAAACCAAAGTTACCTGATTCCAAATACAGTAAGACCCCCCTTTTTTACTATGTTGATACATACATATTAATTTAATTCAAAACTGAAATGTCAATAATGTGTAATGATTCATGGTAACAGCAATAAATATTGAAATTCTTTACCACTAAATTCTCATGGTATTTGAAAAACAAAATTGAAAATGGCAAATAGCAATTACTTTAAGTACACTCTTTCCATCAAAATTAAAAAAACAAAAGAGGCCTATGAAAGTATCTTTTTTCAGATATGAAGATCAATGATGTGGAAAATTCATTTTTTCAATGAACTATGACAATTATTTTTATCTCATACATTTTTGATTTAGGTTATGTGGTCATATCAATGAACAAGTATCTACAAAGTTCCTACTCTACACAAGGCGCTGTGCTAGGCCCTCAGGATGTAAGTACAAAAGATGACACAATATTTGGTAGAAGTTTACATTCTAATGGGGAGAAACAAGTACATATGGAAAATATATACACTTTGTAAAGTAAATAAATATAAATGTATATAAGTAGGAGGACACTAGTAGGTGGAGGAATCAGGAAAGACTTCATGTACGAGACAGTGATTAAGAAGAGGGAAGGAAAGAGTACACTCCAAGTTTGTGGGATGACCAGGGGAAAGGCACAGAAAAAAGGAGTGTCATGAATGAGGAAGAAGGAAAAGTACAGTTTGGCTGCCTTACAGAAAGGAGAGGGAGTGATGTCCATCTAGGCTGGAAAGATAGTTTGGGGCCAAATTATGTAGGGCTTTAAAAGCCAAACAGAGAAGTTTATATTTTATCCTAGAAACAACAGATCTCCACTTAAGGAAAATCACTTTGGCAGCAATGTGTGAGATGGACTGGAGTGATGAGAGACTTGAGGCAGGGAGACAAACAAGGAGGCTGTTGCAATACTCTAGGTGAGAGATAAGAAAAGCCTGAACTAAAAGTAGGAGCTGTGTGAGTGAAGAGAGGGGTTCAGATGTGAAAAATGTTGTAATCGTCGAAACAGCAAGATTTGGTAACTGAATGGGTTACATGGGGTGTGAGAGAGTAAGGAGTACAGGATAAAATGAAGGTTACAAACCTGAGAGATTGGAAGGATGGTGATACCTTCAATAGAAATAACAGAAGATGAGAGAGTTTAGGAAAACAGATAATTTTAGATGTGTTGAGTTTAAATTTTTCTGCAGCCTCCAGTTTGAAATTTCCAATAAGCAATTGAAGATGTATAACTGAAGTTCAGGGAGGAGATTAGGGATGGATATGTAGATCTGGGAGTCGTCTCCATATTCATGAGAGTTAAACCCATGGGAACTGATAAGAACGGAGGGAGGAAGGGAAAGAAGAGAGAAAAAGGGAGAGGTGGAGGAAGAAGGAGAGGGAGAGAAGAGGAGAGAAGATTGTAAAGAGAGCTGGACTTGTCATTTCCAGAAAACTATATTCAAATTCAGATTCTGAAATACATCGTGTAACTGCTGCTAAGACACTTAACCCTTGTGAGTCTTATTTTCCCCCAATCTATAAAAATAAGACAATAATACCTAGAATATCTATCACCCAAAGATGCTATAAGGATCAAATGAGACAGATAATATATACACATATATATATATATATATAAAAAGTATACTATATGTCAATTATTATTGGTTTATGTAAGCAGTACACTGATTAGCACAATCGAGAGACACAAAGTAAATAACTAAGATACAGAGTTTGAATTCCAAAACACATTTTACAGTTATGATTTCATGTTATAACCAGTAATATAATTTTAAAACAGTGAAATTACCAAAAGTAAGTTGGGTCTATCTTATAGCTGATTTTCTTCTCCCATTTAAATTTAAGAAAAACTGACAAAAACAAAGGAGTTCCTACTGTCAAAGATATTAGAATCAATAATATTCCCTATAAAATTAAATTCTTATTTATGGGTCTAAAAATTAATCTGGCTGTGAATTTTAAGTTCTTAAAAGCAGAATAGTCTGACTCTGAAAAATGGGTTAACTATCACTGGAAGTCTTCAAAAAGCAGCTGGGTTAGGGATGTTTTGGAATGATTTCTGTTCAGATATAAATTGGACTAGATCATTTTGAAATTCTTTCTAAAATTGATATTCGGATAGGTAACTTTCAAAATATAGTCTATATTGAATCTTGGGATAAGGAATAAAGTAGTAAAATAACTTTTTAAATTTTAATATTTTTCCAAAGGAGGATAATCACTCAAGACTGCCACATATATACCCAACTATCAAAATACATCTTGAAGAGAAAAAAGAGGGTAGAGGCCCCTTTAATTTGATACGCATTCCCTGGCTACAGATTGATTTTCTTATTATATTGCCTTATGGTATTGCGTCTTTAACTATGAAGCCTTAGGTACTAGGCACAGCAGTGACAAGAGAAATGCTGCAAAAGCAATAGGAAATTTTTGGTAGACTCAAAATACAGAAAGCAAAAGGAACAAAAAATGAAGTGGAAAATAAAATACAATATAATTTGCTACCAAGAAATTTGTGACACTGATTTAACCTCTCATCAGGGGCTTTCTTCAGACTGCAAATCACAGTGAGGTTGAAGCCCACATAAAAAGACAGCAAAGAAAAAGTATGCTGGTCATTAAAATAAGAGTAGCATATATTTGCCAAATCTACCCAAGGGGATAAACAACCAAAAATTGTTTGTCCGTGTTGATTAGGTCCAGGTTTAGGCTTTTAAGGGGCTCAAAAAATAATAGTTTAGAGGGGCAGTCAAACCTTTCCTCCTCATCTCAAAAAATGACTCAGCAGATCCTTCCACTCCAAGCCACCTGGTTGTGAAACGGCTCCCCTAATTTATGTGTGTGACCTCAGATACTACTTGTAAAGCACTTTTTATATAAAGGAATAAAATGGTCACTCTACTGAGAAGGGAATTCCTTGGGGTTTTTAAGGCCCCATTGGTCCAAGAGATCAGAGGAAATAAATCTCATAGTGCAAGATACACATTCTTGCTACAATGTTCTGCTTTAATGAACAAGATGGTGTGAAGTGCAACAAGCCAATGAAATCCAACTTACTGTGCTACTAAGTCAATCTTATACTAGCCAAACACTTGGGTTTTGGTTTGTTCTTGTACTGCCCAGGGATCCTACAATCAGTTTTCAATAGCAGTAGCTTTGGGTTTTCCAGATTGTTGAAGGCATCCCTAAAGATCCCAAAGTTATATGGGTTGGTCCTGCCCCAGTTATGCTCTGCCCAGAGTTTGGGATTTTTGTTTGATGGGCTTGAATGTACCTATAGAGATGACAGAATTAACCAGACTACTGAATTTATTGAAAAATAATGAAGGAATGAGAAGGGGTGCCTTCTCAGAATGGGATTTATTTAGTCTCCAAAAGGTCCGTGAGGACAAGAAATTTATTGGATGTGGTCCACATGCTACAAATGGATGTCTGGGAATCTCAGTTTGGTACAGTAGGAAAAGCACTGAATTTGGAGTTAAAGAACCTGGATTCAAACTCTAGCTCTGATATTTATTATTATATGACCTTGGCAGGTGATTTCTCTGTTCTGTGCCACAGTTTTCTCAAATTTAAGATGAGAGAATAGGACTAGATAACCACTTAGGTACTATTTAGCTTTAATCTTATGATCCCATTAATTAGGCTTCAGGAATGTGTGTGTGTGTGTGTGTGTGTGTGTGGCACTTTGCTTCTCTTTCAGCTGCACTTTCATATTCTTATACTATTGGCAGGAGGGTCCTGGGGAAAACTTCTCTCCATAGCCAAAATCAAACTGGTCACACGTTCTCAGGGAGTACTGATAAAGGAAGTAGAAGTATTCCTTTCTTCCCTCTTAGATCTAGAGTGGCCAAAACTAGTAGAAAACAAGTCAACTCTCTCCACAGGTTATCTAAATCACAGGATCTAAAGCATTATCCTTACCGTTCTAACAATTTGCCTCAGGAAAGTACACAAAGGATTACAAAAACACACCAAAACCATTAAAAAATCTTCCTATCACCAGGACCCTTCAATTTTGTAGCATGGTGAAAATAACACTGAATTTGGAGTGAAAAGACCTAAATCAAAGTATAGGGTATATAATGGCAAAGCCCTGACAGATTTGACTATCATAGATATGAGCCTCCCACAGTCTCTGTACAGGAAAAGAGTACCCAGCAGGATGCAGACATATCCACAGTCTAGTAAGTGACTGAATCTGAGAATCTGGGTCAGCAGTAACCACACTTTTGGTTACTTTATTTGAATCCTAGCAGTCCCAGATTAGAGCTGGGAAAAAACCTTAAAGATCATCTAGTCCAACCCCCTCACTTTACAGATGAGGAAACAGAAGCCCAGAGGGTTAAACAACTTGGAAAATTCTTAACCAAACTGGGGATAGAAGTGACCATAAGAGATAAAATAGATAATTTCCATTACATGAAATTTAAAAGCTTTTGCACAAACAAAATCTATTTAGCTAGGATAAGGGAAGCTATTAACTGCAGGGAAAATCTTTGAAGTGAATATCTCTAATAGAGTCTGATATCCAAGAAATATATAGTCTATCCTCATTTTTCAGATTCCATATCTGCAAATCTATCTACTTGATAAAATTTATTTATAACCCAATATCAATACTCTAAGTGTTTCCATTGTCATTCACAGCCAT